AGTTGTTGTACTTTCTTTGTTCAGTCCAGTTAGAAAAGAGTACAAACACTCCGGTGCAATCAGTTATGCATGGGGGAACATAATAAGATTTTTTGGGGCTGAGAAATAGCCAATTGTTTTGCCTTTACAAGAGTGCAGCACATTAATGGTTCAGGTTCAGTGTGCCGAGCAATTAGCATATTGTAGTGCCATAATCAGTAGTCAGCATGGAAAGAAAAAAGACCACTGAAATATGACCTACCAAAGATAGGAACTCTTTAAAAACAGGCATCCTTACTGAATTTGTCTTTCTTAAAATTAATTCTACTTTGTGGCCTAGTTCCTTTTATTTCTAAAACTATTATGGGCCACATCTGTGGAATCCCGTATCTGCTATTTTGAAACCAGCTGCTGTTGAGATTCTTTCAGTTAAGTTGAAATTAAGAACAGGTTTGTGGGTTCCCTACCTGCTGTGAAGGTTTATAAAATTGCATATGGGTGAGAAAATGTGACTGCCTGGGTTGGAAAAGTTGGTATTTTTATATAGTACTTAGTATGAAGTTAAAATAACCATGTGAACTGAAGCTGTACTTACTTTGCAACATCAACTATTTCAGCTTTCTTCCTCAGTGCCATTGTAAAGGCGCAACTGAATAAGTGGATTTAAAACAGAATATGAAATCTGGATTTAATTGAACCAAAGTGTAGAAATCAGAATCCTTCTATAGCTTAGCAACTGTGTTTATGTTAGAGGGGCAAATGACTGACATGACAGTTAAAATGCTGATTCTATGAGAGAGTTCACAAGATTAGTTCTGTCATAAAGAAAAATTAGGTTGATTATAATATGGGTCACACGGGGGCTATAGAGTCAATTCCTGCTCACTTTACTCATGTGAGTGGTTCCATTAAAGGGAATGGGATAACTTGCATGAGCAACGCAAGCAGGATTTGACCCACATCCTCACACACCCATGAAATAATAACTTGTCATTAGACTTGCCAAAAACACTGGTGTGGTTACATGTTGAAGGAATCTTAGATGTAGAAAGGTTGTGTACACACTTTAAGTTCGCCTAATGGAAAGTATTATTTTAAACTATTTGCTGGATTTATGCGTGACTAAACTAACAGGGCACGAGAGCTTGACCTCCAGCTTATGCAGATTCACAGAACATCAGTATGTAAAACTATAGTGGATAATGAATTGGCATCGTACAAACTTCAGAAAGGATCTAGCACTGTACGGCTACTAAAGAATATCCAGATTTTTGTGGTGTAGATTACAAGTCAGTGTATTTTACCAGAAAAAAGTGTATTTGTTACTGATTGAAACCCTTTTTGTTTCACAGTGGAATTTAAGCCACAGATAGAAATTAACCATGGTAGTAAACCAGCTGGTTAGAATGGCATTTAACAAGTTTTAATTGCAAATAGACAGAAATATTGGTAAAATGTTATTTTAAAACATAATCACTGATCATTGTTGTGCACAATAATCTTTGTGGTTTCTCAGATATATATGATGGTGGTATAGATACTCATATTTGTAAATTCTGCCTATACTATCTGTATTTCTAAATTCAGTAGAAAGAATCCATTTTAGAAAGGTAAATAACAGATAGTAGAAGTTCATTTGTTTTCATTGTTGTTGTGCCTTGTTTTACCCTGGGTGTACTTTGTATGCAAAAAGCCTGGGTTAGATAAAAACAGGAGATGAAGGCAGAGTTACAGACTGTAAAGCTGAGAGGTTTGTTTGGTAAGGAATGTTTTCAACAAACTTGATGAGAGACACCAAGAAAACTGCCAGTTTGAATGAGTCCTGCAATGTGGAGGTAGAATCTTCCAGAGACTAGGGGCCTCAGGTCATCCCGATAAGCATTATTTAGATGTACTTTATAAATTTCAGATGTATTTGTACCAAAAAATCATACTCGACAGCACTAGAATTAAATAACTCTGAATTAGCATACAGTGGAAACTAAAACAACTGACTCCTCTAGTTACAATTCATTGAAAGTATCTGTATATATGATACGAATATGTAATATTTAATCAAAATTTGGTTTGTTTGCCTGCCTTGAAGTTTTTATATATGTTTTCACCTCCCGTTTTTACAGCGACGTGGCCTTTTATTCCTTGATATTCTATTATAGTGCTTCTCAGGAACCTTTCTTATCTAAACTTCCACCAATCATTCCTAAGGCTAAGTTATGCAGACAAGTCATTGCACAGATTTTCATCAAAATGCCATTTTCCTTAGCTTGAGAAAGCCTAGTCCCAAATGCTGAACAAATAATTTATTAGACTGTAGCAAAAGTAAATAAATGTTTTCCTGCTCCATGTATTTCATTAGCCAGACTTATTATACATACAAGCTATAAATAGCAAAATATGTATTGAGCCATTAATATCACTGACAATCTCATACAAAATACTGTAATTTAACTAAAGAATTTGAAATGGGAGTACTTCTCTGGGAAGATTTCAGAAAAAGATAAAATTGGTAAGCAGTGTTGATAAGCAGATTAATCAACTAGGATAGTGCTATGTTAATAACCTATTTTAAAATTAACAAACATCTTCTCTACCTGAAACTTTTAGCAGTACCAGTGAGGTTATACTCATTCAATTTGCATATCTTTTAAGTATTTGAATTTGTATATTGTTCTTCTCATTTTGAAACCAGAAATGCTGGAATCAACAGGGGAAACATGACAAAATCCATTATTTAAAAGTTACATGGAGAGATGGACTCTGATAATTACTTTCTGCACAATTAATATACACGATTAATATTGTCATTAGTGTCTGTACCTCTTCTGAATTTGGGATTCCATTAATGTTGAGTTCTTCTCCTCTACTAAACTTAAGGCCCAATTCTTCAGTCCTCGTTCAGAGACCCATTCCCTACTCTTTATTGGAGTAACCAGTGCAGGACTGAGTCTTATGGAAAGGAAATGTGGAAAATATTAAGTATCTTAAGGCACTGTATAGAGACGCAGTAAGCACAGCCCTGAGTGAGCTCACATTTTACTGTCTAAAGGAAAGAATCTATACAGACTAGAGAGAAAAATAGGCAGGTCATGAAAATCACATTTTTATGTGGAGGAGCTTGGAAATCTCATGCACCTTTCATTGCTCTAAACTGTCAATTTTCACCATATGGAAATTATTAGCCTAATACTGTAGTTTTAAATACTGCCCAGGAATGCTGATTTATAATGGATATTTTATTCTTTGAGTAAAGAAATGCTAAACTGCTATATAAACTATAACGATTAGGAAAATCTGCACACTGCATTGCGTGTGCGATTAGTTTTAAAGGGATGAATTTTGCTCTTATCTATGCTTGTGTAAATCTGGAATAACCGAAGTCAGTGTCCTTACAGCAACTGGAGTAACTGAGAATAGAATTTGGCCTTGAGTTAAAAAAAAAAAATCTGTAGGAAAGGTTAGGAAGCATAAGGAAGAAAACACAGACTTTGGAATATAGATTATCTACCATGATGAAAGCATTTCAAAACACTACATTAAGGTGAAGAAACTGCTTCTGAAGTATAGGCTAAGTGTATTTTTAAAAGTGTCCTTTCTGTGTATTTAGACAAGCTATGCATATGCCTAATATTTTTCTGTGAATTAGAATGAAATTTGATTGTTCCAACAAAATACATCCCACTCAGGCATTCATGCTGAAACCAGCAACAATTGTCAATGACCTTTAACATGCCTGCTATTCAAATTAGTGCAGATCATTAATCACACATAGCTTACATTTTATGATTCGTGTATCCTTCATTACAAACTTTCTCTCTTGCTTGCTGCCCCCTCCCTCCCTTTTTTCTTTATTCCAAGTCCTCTGGTAATAACCATTGACTATTGTAGGGGTTCAGAACAGGATCGTACATTTTGGAAGCTGGCGGTAGTAGTTTCTGTCGCAAGTGCAAGAAGTTGGAGGGGTGACACAGCAAAGTCAAACGTTGCGTGCACAAATACCACAGCACTAGGTAACCGTTTTCAAGCGCAGAGCTTGATTGTCTGGCAAGAACCACGTTCGGGGTGTTTGGACAGTGTGTTCCTCTTAACTGCTAGTTGTTCCTAGGTGAAACATGGCAGAAAAGGAAAGCTCTGGGATTTAAAGATAATACTAACCCGCCTCAAAAGTCCAGCATGGCAATTCTACATCGTCATGATTATTACAAACAAACAAACAAAAAGCAAGCACTCACAACCCCCAACACACTCTAGAAGTCTAGCACCAAGCTTCAGAAGATTAATTTAAGGTTTCCAGTCATAGACTAAACATATTCCAATCGCCTATGGCACACATACTTTGGGTGATTAAACTGAGCTTTGCAAACATACAGGAAAATACATACAGTTTGAACTTTTCAAACATATGAGTGGATTATTTTTTTAAAAGCCATATGGCAGATTGATTTGCTCAGAGCTCTTTCAACTCTTCCAGCGTAACTGTTGAACACCATTACCCTTTGATCTTGATTGAGGACTTTAATGTTTTTGTTACTGTGCATTTGAATAAATCTATAAATATTTTACCAGTGAAGTTAAAAAAAGGATGTTTCTAATATAAATGCATCTGGAGCAACTCCAAGCCCTTACATTTCAGAGCTTATATATGTGGGGAGTGTATAATAGTTTGCACAAACATAACTTTTCACACAAAACAATACACACACACACACACATCCACTTCTATGATAGCTTCCAGTAATTCAGCTCTTGAATGTTTCAGTCATTTGAAAGAAGGTGAGATACATAACAAATCTGATAATGATTCAGTCCTATTAGTGGAATAATTATTTGTATATGACTCATTTCGAGCATCTAGACTTTCCCCGCATTGTACCAGAACTTTGCTGATGAGACAATAGTAGATAGTGTGTGCATTTAATATAGGACAGACCATTCTCCCATCTGGGGGAAGACATCAACCTATACATTGGAGGAAGCCAACGAAAAACAACCGGGATTCTCCAAAGCCACGCTCGATCTTTGGTCTGGTAGTCAAAGCAGCCCCGGCTGGCCAAAGGGCAAGGGAAAGTTTGGCGCTGAAGGGGCCCCTGGGTTGGGGCTTGGCATAGAGGGTTTGCAAGTCGCCCCCCCGTCCGCAGGAGTGGAGCTGGCGCAGTGAATCATGTGCAGTTCTTTCCTTATTGCATTCAGCGCATGGTTTCACCTTCAGATTCTTGTTTGTCTGTGTGTCCTTTCCCAAATAATATTACCTTACGCGAACGAGGTAAGGCACAGGGTGGGGTGGAGTGGGGCAAAATCTCCGTAGGATCCTTTTCTTTTTTTGGGGGGGGGCGGTTTGGGGGGATGTGGATCCTCTTAATACGCCCGTGGGAAAAACTTCGCTTTCCCAATTAATGGTTAGTCTTACTCTGTAATTTAAGGGATTTAAAAAATGGTAACTTTGTACTGTTTGCCGAGAAAGAGATCATTGTTACTGCAGTGGTGGTGCTGTTGGGGGAATTTATGGGCTGTATGAGCCTTTTGGCTTTGTACACTTCGTCAAAGGCGGGGGGGGGGGAGTGGAGAGAGAGAGAGAGCTTGAATGCTATATTCATCCATGAAGAAACAAAGAACAAATTGCCTTACTTTAAAGTAAAATGCTTTGGCTAATGAAGGTGGGTGATGGGACTTCAAGCTTTCGAGCCTCGAGTCGCTACTTAAATTATTAAGGGTTTTTGCTGGGTAGTATTGATTCAGTATATGCATGAAATGCTTGATGCCTGGGGTGTGTGTATATGTGTGTGTTTCCCCTTCATTTTTTAGTTGCTCTCCCTTCAGCTGCGCGTATATAACTGAATGATAAACATTAAAAGAAGTATACAGCTTATCAAAGGAAGTTGGGGCGGGTGGGGGTGGAAAACAAGTATTCACGAATAGACACTGGAACGCTGAGAAGGGCTTGAAGGACAATGTGTAGCAATTACTTCCAGAAGATGAAAATAGCCCATGGGGGGCGGGTGGGGTTGGGAGAGGGAGTTTAATGTTTATATTTTTAAAAAGGACAGAGAGAAAGAAGAGTAGAAATAATGCAATTCCAGACATTTTGTGCGATAAAAGCTTTCCTCCTCCCCCCTCCTCCTCCCACTATCTTCAGTGAGAATTAGCATACCAAATAGTTGCGATCCTAATTTGAATTAAGATGCTTCGACAAGTTTAAGAAACTTTGCCTGGCTAAACTTTGTGGTAAGAGAACAAGTTGGGATATTAACATAGGCTGAATGTGTATGGAGGCTTGTGTAGAATGACAGTCACCCTGTTGTTTTTGCTCTAAGACCAGCTAACCTCTGCAATTAACTACTCCCGAGAAACCCTGGCTTTTAAACTGAAAGGTGCTGGTTAGGAGTTAGCACCATTTGTTATGAGCGTTAATAAGCTCCCAGCAGTAGACAAGTATCTTCTGGGGAATGTGCATTGTGTGTCTATGTCCATTACGCATATAGCTAAAGAGACACTTGGATACTAGATGTTCAAAAATAAATTTGTTCAGACTTCTTCCTAAACATGAACCCTGGTCTTTATTTAATCCAGATGCAGGATTCCACCCCCAACCCCATATTTGCTGCCTTATTGTTGGTTTACATTTTCTGAAAAGGCGACTGGTGTAACCTGTGGAATTTGAAATGCAAATAAAAGCCTGTGGGAGTTGAGGCAGAACAAATCAGCATTTATAAAGTGAAAAAGATTTAATGTCTTTGAAACCATTGCAAGATTTTTTATAAGAACGGAATCGTGACGTCAAGTCGTTTGAGAAAGATTTTTTTTAAATGTCTGAAATGCGGGTATGTGAAGTGCTTACAGGAAAAACAGATTACAAGATTAACATCTGTTAACATGATCGTTTATCTGCAGCCAAAAATAGGTCAGTCCTTTCTTAAGGAAATACGACTGCTGGGCGCATGATTAAATAATGAATTTAGACTAATGAGTTAGATACAGTCCGTGTGTGTTATAATCTGACCTGTGACAAAAATATTTAATTCAGAGACCTTTGGAGATCATTGTAAGGTCAAAGTCCCTTTTTAGGGAGAGGCACAACTCTCCCTCCTCTTCCTCCCACCCCCCTTTCTTCTTCTTTCCGTTCCTTATTGCTAAATGTTCTCCATCTCCTCCTCCCCCACCGAAGCAGTAATGAATGTTTTCCATCTCCAGTATTGTTAAAGGACACCAACTCTTTCCGTGCAAATGGCTAAGTTTCCTAAGCTCTGGGGTTGTTTTGTCATTAACTGAGACAGTGGCAAAGAAGAATAGGAAACGCCGATGCAAAGTAGCTCTCTGCTTTGCATCTGCCTACCCCCTAACTGTGATTGACAGTCCAAGCCTCCAATCGCCACTTCTTCCTCTCCCTAGCACTGAGTGCATTTGTGTTACTACTCAGACCTAGAACCAGGCTGCTTTATTTATTTACACATACCTTGGTGTGTGTGTGTGTGTGTGTGTGTATAGATAGAAATCTGCATAGGTACATCAAATCTCATACAAGACAACCATATACCTCTGGTAGATCCATAATAATAAATATGTAAAGAGTCAGCATATGAGAAGATTTGAAGTAACAAGTTGAGACCTGCTGGAGGAGAAGAAATATAAAATGATCTCTAGCTATATTTTTACAACAGTGTTGCAGTCATACCTATGTGAGGCAAATGGTGTATTGACGTCCAAGAGTTACACCCATTCTCAGGTCATCGTTGTTTTAGCAATCTTCACAGTAAATTATTTTTTTTAAAGTGACTGCAGAGTGCTCTTATGAAAATCACTTTGGGCCCTATGGAGCAATCGATTTTTAGACAGAATTCCTCATTGATTTCAGAGGAGATTGCTGCTGAAAAATTAGAATGGTCTTTCATACCGGGAAGTAAAACAAAATTATCATGTTTCAAACTTTTTGAAGTTTTTGTAAAGTTTTTTTTTTGGAGGGGATAAATATTTAGTTCAGTGCAAATCCTTGAATTTAAAGCTCATTGCTCTAATAGAATAAAAATGCTGCTGACCAACAGTCTCTATGAATAATGGTCATTTCTAGACTACACAATAGGCACATTCAGTAAAGGAATGCCTGTCATGAACCATACCAGGTTTTGTGCTTAGTTAATCCTCTTCCCCAGCTTCACTCCAAATATTGATGTTATAATTTTATTTTTGTTTGGTGTATCAAGAATGTGCTACTTGTAAGTGCAGTGATCCAGACCTTCAGTTAGAGTTTAGCATTTTCTGTGCTTAAGGGTGGATTGTCATTTATCTGTTGAGCTCTTATGTTGTGTAATTACGGTAAAAGGATGGGTGGGTTAGAGGTAGGACAGTTAAAGGACTAAATGCAACCTTTTGTATAAAACAACTGCCCAATTCACTCCGGAGATGGCCAGAATTACTCCTTGTAGACGGAGCCCAGAGGATGTCCAAAGAGGAGCCTTTATTCTTTGGCCTTGTGCCACATACTTTATTTCATGCCTGCTACACTAAATGAGTTAACTACCAAAGGGTTTTTCATTAACTCGACTTGGCAGCCACATATTTAACTTAAAAAAAAAAAAGAGCGTAACTTAATTTAAAAACGGATCTGAACAACACAGCGTGGAAGACTTTTACTCCTATTCAGCCTCTTTTAATACCAGATTACCTTTGTGCCCCTCCTCTTCTCCCCAACCCCGTGGGTCTGGTGCTTTCAGAGAGGCTTGTTGGGATGCGAAAGGGAATTGCTCGACTTTGTCTTGACCGTTGTATTCCTGTGTTGCATTAATAGCCTGCATCGCCTGGAGGAGGCAGAACACGAATGCAACAAAAAATGCAACGGCGTTCAGATTGGTTGCTGTGGTAGAGGTGGTTTTGCAGGGCTGATGTGGCTGGAAGGTGTGTGAGAGAGAAGGGGAGGGTTTGTACCTGGGCTGGCCGCACGAGGGGAGCGGGCCAACCCCAGCAGCAGCTTGTTGCTGTGTGTTCAGTGCCGAGGGAGGGAAGCAGGGAGGAGTTTGGCTCGGGCAGCTCTTGCATTCAGTTGTCCGCCTTTATAATGTAGCCAGGACGTCACAGCCATGTACTGTAACACAAGAAGTTAAAGAGGCAGAGGGGAAACAGACACCCCTCAACTTCTAGCCCTTAACAAAGGCAGAGGCAGGCAGGGATCTGTCAAGAGACACAGGCGCCGAGAGGGGAGGAAAACACAACTGGGGGGGCTCGGAGAGATCCAGGGAGGCCCAATTAATGGAGGAGGAACGTTTTGAGGAGGCGAGGGAGGGGGCAACTGAGCTCAGGCGGCCCCAGCGTTGCCCTATTGGATTACGTGGGGATCTCGTTGCTGGTGAAGCATAGTGGCGTGCAAGGTAATTTACTTTCTATTTTAAACTCCAGTTTGTTATTATTGAAGGGATTGGGGGGGGGGGGACTTGTTGCAAGGCGTGGCGTGCCCAGAAATAATTACGTAAGTATTCAAACCGGCTTGGTGTTGCTGACAAGAGGGGCAGTTTGTTCTAATGGCAAGGAGGGAGTTTGTTCCTGACAATGTATCGATTTGGAAAGCTTGAGAGAAGGGGATGGGGAGGAGGGGGTGAAACAGAGAGAAACATCGCTCTCTGTCTGTGGACAGATGAAACTTGCTTGCAAGGAACCCAGATGTATTTCTGGGCGTGGGATAAGGCACTAATACAGTGTAGTTCTGCAAAACAAAGGGGAAGAATGGTAGCTGAATTGCAGTTTTCCTGCGTTCACATTACACTGTTGGGCTTTTTTTATTTTTAAAAAATCTCTGATAACACAGATGAACGGACACAAGTACTGATTAATTCTACTGTATGAGTGAGTCACAGAAAATCTTTATCTTTCAATATTATGGTGCCACTTTCTCATTAGTGAAGGGAGGACTTTTATAGTTCGTTTTCAAGTGTTCTGTAGCTGGAATGCCCAGGAGACAATTAAAAGTGGGATCAATTTTTTTAAACGCTATTAACTCCAAAATATCACACTAAAACAAAGATACTTCATTTCATGTAGTAATGTCCATTAATCACATAGATGTGAAGTAAATACCATTTAAAATTGTTCTCTCAGGCTGAAGGCAATAATTATGTTCCTTTCCCCAGTAAAATCTTGTCTGTACAGTAATCAAAATGAAACTGTTCTTCATGTAGCAGATAAATACTTGTATAAGCTATTTAAATATTTTTGATGCTAAGGTAACATAGGCATCATACATATGTTTTGGTTGCTGTGGAAAAACAACAACCCTCATTT